GACCTGAACCAGTCAAGGACAGAGCCTTGAAGGTTGAGGTGGGAGGAGAGGCGGTGGAGGAGGATTGAGTGGTCCACGGTGTCAAAGGCAGTGGAGAGGTCGAGGAGGACTTTCTCGCAATGAGAGTCAGAGGAAAGAGTCTGCGAGGCGTGGCTGGGAGGGCGGAGGAGCCGGTTGGTGATGGAGAACAGGAGCCTGGGGTTGCCCTTCACTTCCAGGGTTAACCTGGAGTAGAAGGACGATTTGGCCGAGGCGAGAGAGGAGCAGTAGGTCTTGATAAGGTCCAGCCAGATGTGGCGGGGCCCGTTAGGCCGGATTTGAGCCAAGTGCATTTGGCAGCTGCACCTGGGCCTTACGCAAGCGGAGGTGGCTGGAGAACCAGGGTGGGGATCGGGAATAGGAGGCAGTTCGGGAGGTGAGGGGGGGAAGGGCGTTGAGTGCGGTGGAGAGGGCGCTGTGGAGAAGAGTCAGCTTGGACTGTGAGCTCCAAGTCACAATCTTGGGGCTTGAATCACGTCCTTTTGATTCCAGAGTTGAAAGTGGTAAGTCATGGCTCAACAAATAGTCATGGATCAAGTAACCAAATTATTATTACTATCTTAGATAAGATTAGCTGAGGATTGAGAGCCGGGCAAGGGCTGAGAGTGAAGATGAGGAGAATCTCTGTACGGCTGCCTTGGTTTGTGGAGTCCTGTAGCTCAGTGGTCAGAGCGCTCGCCTCACACGCGAGAAACCTGGGTTCGATTCCCGGGCGGGGAGAAACGTTGGGTAAGTTTCCTTACTCCACACGCTCCTGTTTACCAGCAGTAAGTAGGAACTCGGTTGTTAGTCGATTGGCGGATCACGTTTCTGGGGGTAATAATCTCTCCCCCAAAAATAAATAATAATAAATCGGTCACTTCAATCCACGGCTGTTTGTGGGGACGCTGCTGAGCGCAATTGGCTGCCGCGTTTCGACCACAAAATATACAGTCAATTCGCTTGACAAGCGCTTTGAAGCGCTTTGAGACGCCTCAGTGATAAGGTGTTATATCAAATGCAAGGATTATTATTATTATTATTATTATTATCTCTCTGTTTGCCCCTGCTCTCAGTGCCAGGTTGCGGGGCTGCTATCTGGCTGCGAGCTGACACACAGCACAGCCACCTGCTCGTGGAATGAATCTATCTCCGGTGCTGACAAACTCTGGTATTCATTTCACACTGTGTTTGTGTAGACTTATTGGGTGTGAGTCATGGAGTACTTCGTGTTGGGTCGTCATGGAAACTGCCCGGCATTATCCACTCGGCCTCACACGAGCAGAGAATCATAAGAACAGCGGAAGGTGCTGCTGTTTACCTCCCGAAAACCCCCTCCCCCAAAGCCCGCCCACCACCGAGGCCACATGGCCTCAGACATTATCAGAGATTAACCCATGGGCAGCGTTCAGCCATCTTTGTAACCTTCCATGTACCGAGGAGGAAATGGTGTGTGATTGGCGTTGGGTCACATGGTCCGTCCGTTTACTCCCCCCTAATCCCAACCCCAACCTCAACCCCAACCCCAACCTCAACCCCAACCTCAACCCCAACCTCAACCTCAACCCCAACCTCAACCTCAACCCCAACCTCAACCCCAACCTCAACCCCAACCCCAACTTCAACCCCAACCCAACCTCAACCCCAACCCCAACCCCAACCTCAACCCCAACCCCAACCTCAACCCCAACCCCAACCTCAACCTCAACCTCAACCCCAACCCCAACCTCAACCTCAACCCCAACCGCAACCGCAACCTCAACCCCAACCGCAACCTCATCCTCAACCCCATCCTCAACCCCAACTCCACCCCAACACCAACCCCAACCTCAAACCTAACCTCAACCCTAACCTCAACCCCAACCCCAACTTCAACCTCAACCCCAACCTCAACCCCAACCTCAACTTCAACCCCAACCCAACCCAACCTCAACCTCAACCCCAACCTCAACCCCAACCTCAACCCCAACCCCAACCTCAACCTCAACCTCAACCCCAACCCCAACCTCAACCCCAACCCCAACCTCAACCCCAACCGCAACCTCAACCGCAACCTCAACCCCAACCTCAACCTCAACCCCAACCGCAACCTCAACCTCAACCTCAACCCCAACCTCAACCCCAACCGCAACCGCAACCTCAACCCCAACCGCAACCTCATCCTCAACCCCATCCTCAACCCCAACTCCACCCCAACACCAACCCCAACCTCAAACCTAACCTCAACCCTAACCTCAACCCCAACCCCAACTTCAACCTCAACCCCAACCTCAACCCCAACCTCAACCCCAACCCCAACCCCAACCTCAACCCCAACCCCAACCTCAACCTCAACCTCAACCCCAACCTCAACCTCAACCCCAACCGCAACCGCAACCTCAACCCCAACCGCAACCTCATCCTCAACCCCATCCTCAACCCCAACTCCACCCCAACACCAACCCCAACCTCAAACCTAACCTCAACCCTAACCTCAACCCCAACCCCAACTTCAACCTCAACCCCAACCTCAACCCCAACCTCAACTTCAACCCCAACCCAACCCAACCTCAACCTCAACCCCAACCTCAACCCCAACCTCAACCCCAACCCCAACCTCAACCTCAACCTCAACCCCAACCCCAACCTCAACCCCAACCCCAACCTCAACCCCAACCGCAACCTCAACCCCAACCGCAACCTCAACCCCAACCTCAACCTCAACCCCAACCCCAACCGCAACCTCAACCTCAACCTCAACCTCAACCCCAACCTCAACCCCAACCGCAACCGCAACCTCAACACCAACCGCAACCTCATCCTCAACCCCATCCTCAACCCCAACTCCACCCCAACACCAACCCCAACCTCAAACCTAACCTCAACCCTAACCTCAACCCCAACCCCAACTTCAACCTCAACCCCAACCTCAACCCCAACCTCAACTTCAACCCCAACCGAACCTCAACCTCAACCCCAACCTCAACCCCAACCTCAACCCCAACCCCAACCTCAACCTCAACCTCAACCCCAACCCCAACCTCAACCCCAACCCCAACCTCAACCCCAACCCCAACCGCAACCTCAACCCCAACCGCAACCTCAACCCCAACCTCAACCTCAACCCCATCCTCAACCCCAACTCCACCCCAACCTCAAACCTAACCTCAACCCTAACCTCAACCCCAACTTCAACCTCAACCCCAACCTCAACCCCAACCTCAACCCCAACCTCAACTCCAACCCCAACCTCAACCCCATCCTCAACCCCAATCTCAACCTCAACCCCAACCCCAACCTCAACCCCAATCCCAACCTCAATCCCAACTCCAACCTCAACCTCAACCCCAACCCCAACCTCAACCTCAACCCGCCCCATCACCCATCACTGTGCTTACAAGTATCCAAACTCAAACTGAGATTTCTGTGCATCCCACCTACACATGGAAATCGCAGAGATAGATTGTTGGAATGGATTGCGCTCTTTCTCTCTCTCTCTCTCTGGAGGAGGCATCCTGTTCACCTAATTCTAGTAAGTATTAGGCACAGGTTGGCAAGAGCCAAGGCTTAGGGGGAGCCCAGAGTTTGCGTTGGGTTAACTGCTGGAATCTAACCAGCTAAACCCGTAAGCAGAGAGGATCCGGATTCGATACCCGGGCAGGGCGAAAGCTTAGGAAAGTTTCCTTACTCCACAAGCCTCTGTCTAACTGGCAGTGAGTAGGAACCCAGATGTTAGTTGATTGACGGATTGCTTTCTGGGGGTAATAAACCCTCCAAACAAAAATTGGGTCACCAAGTCACTCAAACCACAACTGTTTGTGGGTCACTCCTATGTGCAATTGGCTCCGAGTTTTACCCACAAAGTATACAGTCACTCTGCTTCGCAACATATTCTGTGAAGTGCATTGAGACGTCTCAACGACCTGATAAGGCGCTGAATCAAACGCAAGGATTATTATTATTACTGCATAAGACCAGCAGAACGTAAGAATTGCTAGACGAAAAAAAGACCAAGGTCCATCTAGTTTGCCTTCAACCTTCCTGGACATATGTCCCAAACTACCCATGTTTGGAGTCCTGTAGCTCAGTGGTTAGAGCACTCGCTTTGCAAGTGCGAGACCTCAGTTCAATTCCAGGCAGAGGGCGAAACCTTGGGCAAGTTTCCTTACTCCACACAGAGCCTAATAATAATCCCTCCAAAACCCAAAACAATAATAAATTGGTCATTTTCAATCCACGACTGTTTGTGGGACATTGCTGTGCGCAATTGGCTGCCGCGTTCGCCCACAAATACACAGTCAATTCACTTTACAGTGTGTTCTGTGAAGCGCTTTGGGACGTCCTCCCGACGTGAAAAGCGCTATATCAAATGCAAGGATTATTATTATTATTATTATTATGCGCTGTACCCCTCATGTTGTTTGCTCAAATAACTATTCTGGACTAGTTGAAACAGCCTGTGGTGATCTACATTGTCTCACCCCTCTAGAATCTTTACAGTCTTCAGAATTATTATATTATTATCAGAAAATATTCAACCCTCTCCCACCCCCTCTCATTTATCTCTATTGTAAACCTGTTAAGCTCAGGGTTGGTGGCCAGGAGGCCGATGACTATCTATTGCCATGTTTCGGTGATGCACGTGTTTAGTTTTTATACATGAGATGCGTGAGGGACGTACCAAAGAGAGAGAGAGAGAGAGAGAGACTTGTCTCGTTTCATCAGCTGTGATCATTCGTGTTGCTGAGCCAAGAGACATCAGCTGCTCTGTGTGTGAGAGAGAGAGAGAGAGAGGGAGAGAGTGTATCAGTCCAGAGCTGTGTGCACTCACTCACTCACTCCATCACTCACTCACTCACTCAATCACTCACTCACTCACTCCATCACTCACTCACTCCATCACTCACTCACTCACTCCATCACTCACTCACTCACTCCATCACTCACTCACTCCATCACTCACTCACTTACTCCATCACTCCATCACTCACTCAGTCACTCACTCCATCACTGGAGCAAGTAACAAACAGCCTCTCATCCGATCTCTCAGCCGATCTCTGGATGGAATCAATCAGTATTGAGCTGTCATTCTAACAACAGGTACATACATAGATGTCTCTGTCTCTCTCTCTCTCTCTCTCACTCTTTCTCTCTCTCTCTCATTCTTTCTCTCTCTCCCACTCTTTCTCTCTCTCCCACTCTTCGTGTCTCTCTTATTCACTCATTTCATTCATTCTTTTAAACCCCTCCTGATGCCCTCTCACTGTCTGTATCTCTCTCTGTGTGTACCTGTGTGTGTGTGGGGGGGGGGGGGGGGGGGGGTGGGTCCCTATAAACCCCTCTCTCTCTCTCCCTCTCTCTCTCCACACATCTATGTGCAAAATATTTTTTAAAAATCTTTTTCTCCTGTTTGGTCGCAAATAAATTATGATCAGTCGCCACTGGGAATTATTTGTTGTTGTTTTTTGTTTGTTTGTTTGTTTGTTTGGTGTGTGGGAGGGGGGAGAGAGAGAGAGAGAGAGAGAGAGGAAAGTAGATTTGAGCTATTTAAATAAGTTATTTTAAGCAAAGTCCCTTTAACCTCAGTACAGTGCCAGACTCTGACTGTGAGGCTGTTTCTGCTCTCATTAAACTCCTTATCACGTCTTTTCCCCCTTTTTTTATACTGTTTCCTTTTCATTATTTGATTGATTCCTGATCCCCACCTCCTCCTCCTCACACACACACCTCTGTCTTCCTTCCTAAAGAAAACTATTTCTCTCCCCTCTCTCTCTCTCTCTCTCGCTCTCCCTCACCATCTCTCTCATTCTCTTTCCTCCCTCTATCTCTCACTCTCTCTCCATCTCTCTCATTCTCTTTCCTCCCTCTATCTCTCACTCTCTCTCCATCTCTCTCATTCTCTTTCCTCCCTCTATCTCTCACTCTCTCTCCATCTCTCTCATTCTCTTTCCTCCCTCTATCTCTCACTCTCTCTCCATCTCTTCTCTCCTCTCCATCTCTCTCATTCTCTTTCCTCCCTCTATCTCTCACTCTCTCTCCATCTCTCTCATTCTCTTTCCTCCCTCTATCTCTCACTCTCTCTCCATCTCTCTCATTCTATTTCCTCCCTCTATCTCTCACTCTCTCTCCATCTCTCTCATTCTCTTTCCTCCCTCTATCTCTCACTCTCTCGCTATCTCTCTCATTCTCTTTCCTCCCTCTATCTCTCACTCTCTCTCCATCTTTCTCTCATTCTTGCCCTCTACTTCTCTCCCTATCTCTCTCTCCTCTCTCTCTCTCTTCCTCCCTCTATCTCCCCTCTTCTCTTTCTCTCTCCTCTCTCTTTCTCCCTCTCGCTTTCTCTCTCTCCCCCTCTCTCTATCAATAGACATAAAGGAATGAAGGGGGGAGGAAGCGTTGGGTAAATAATGTTGATTTTTTAGGGGAAAAAAAATTCCAGAACATTGTAATGCAATTTTGCTGTTGAGGAATTATTAATAATAATGCCTGACTATTATATTCTGTTTCCGTGTGTGTGTGTCTCGCTCTGTCCTTGAGTGTGAGTGTGTGTGTGAATCTTTCCCTCTCTCTCACTCTGTGTCCTTGTGTGTGTGTGTGTGTATCTCTCTCTCTCCCTCTGTCCTTGTGTGTGTGTCTGTATTTCTGTGAGTGCGTATCTATATAATAATAATAGTCTATGTATGTGTGTCTCTGTGTTTGTGTGTCTATGTCTGTGTATGTGACTGTGTGTGTGTGTGTTTATGTCTGTCTATGTGTCTGCATGTTTGTGTGTGTCTATGTCTGTCTGTGTATCTGTGTGTGTGTCTATGTGTGTGTGTGTGTGTGTCTGTATCTCTCTCTCTCTCTCTCTGTCCTTGTGTGTGTGTGTATTTCTCTCTCTCTGGCTCTGTGTCTTTGTGTGTGTGTCTGTATGTCTGTGAGTGTGTATCTATGTCAATGTGGTTCTGTGTGTGTGTGTGTCTGTATCACTCTCTCTCTCTCTGTCCTTGTGTGTGTGTGTGTATTTCTCTCTCTCTGGCTCTCTGTCTTTGTGTGTGTGTCTGTATGTCTGTGAGTGTGTATCTATGTCAATGTGGTTCTGTGTGTGTGTGTGTGTGTGTGTGTGTCTATGTATGTATGTCTATGTGTCTGTGTGTCTCTCTCTTCAGTTTGCTTCCTCCTCCTGACCAATGCTGATATTTCTGTTGACATTTAATGCACAATAGTGAAGCCTGTGGGGAGGTTGTCATCAGGGGCTGTGGTTCCTGATGTGAATGACAGTGACTTGCTATCAATTTATTACAGTATTATGTAAGTGCAGAAACATGTGCCTTTTCCTGGGCAGAAATTCATCTGCGTAAAAAGCACATCACAAACCGTGTGGAGGTTTACATCGGCCAATAATAATGATAACAATAAATAATAATGATAATAAATAATAATAACAATGAGTAATAATAAATAATAACAATAAATAGCAATAAATAATAATAAAATAATAATAAATAATAATAGCAATAAATAATAATAGCAATAAATAATAATTACAATAAATAATAATAATCTTTGCATTTGATGCAGAGCCTTATCACGTCAAAGGGCTTCACAGAATCTATTGTGAAGTGATTGTGTGTTATGTGGGCGAAACGAGGCAGTCAATTGCACACAGCAGTGTCCCACAAACAGCCGTGGATTGAGTGAGTGACCAGATTTTTTACGAGGGGTGGATGGGGAGGAATTATTACCCCCAGAAAGCGATCTGCCAATCGACTAACAACCAGGTTCCTACCTACTGCTAATAATAATGATACAATAATAACAATTAAGTGTAGTAAGTGTGTGCGTGTGTGTCTATGTCTTTATGTGTCTCTCTTTCGCTTTCTAGGGGGCAATAATGCCTCAAAAAAAAACACCAAACAAAAAAAATTGCGGTCGCTCAATCCACGACTGTTTGTGGGGACTCTGCTGTGCGCAATTGGCTGCCGCGTTTCGCCCACAAAATACACAGTCACTACACTTTACAGTGTGCCCTGTGAAGTTTGCAGTGTGCCCAGATCGGTGGGACTTTGAGCTCTACAGTCCCAGGCTGACGCTCAGGAAGATTTAAGTGGAGTGTTGCATTGTCGCGGGCGACGACCTTCAGAGGAGATGTTAAATCAAGTGCATTGTCGTACTGCAGAGGATCACAGATCCTGTGGCACCAGAGATGCAATGTGCGCGGAGCTGAGGAAAGGGAACAATAACTATTATTATTTAATTATTATTATTATTCATAACAATCCTTTGGTTTGACACTACGCCTGTAATCCCCTGATTTGACACCAATTGATGTGTTAGACTTGCAGCGGGTGACTCATGGTGAATATTTATGGCTCCAAGTTTAAGGTTGGGCGGCTCAGTAATGAACTGCCTGGGGGAGGGCGGTGGGGGGGGGGGGGGGGGAGTGGGAGTCGGGGCGGGGGGGGGTGGGGGCTGGGAAGGGGGAAGAGAGAGGAATAAATCAAATGTAGAAGGTAATAACCACAAGAAATTTGCTCGCTTTATAACAAGGACAATTGGATTAAGCAGCAGCTAACCAGAGGCCGCGGGGACATCTGAGCTATTTTCAGAAACGTGTGATGAGGCAAAAGAATAAAGAGAGAAAGTGATCGGTTCTTAAGGTCTTAAGGTAGCTTTCCCTGCGCATATTTCCTGGCTCAGTGCAGGCAGCATTCTCACTGTTTGTGGGGGACGTCGCTGAGCGCAATTGTCTGTCGCGTTTTGCCCACAAAACACACAGTCGCTCCACTTTACAGTGGATCCTGCGAAGCGCTTTGAGGCGTCTCGAGACGTGATGAGGCGCCGTGTCAAATGCACGGAGTATTATTATTGTTTTCCCTCCCCCCCACTACCCCGCTACCCCCCCCCCCCCACCCCCCACCACTCCCCCCACCCCACCCCACCCCCCGGCCCCCACCCCCTCAGGCTCCATGGCGGGCTGTGTGGCGTTCTGTGCACCTCAGGACAGGGCGGAGTCAGCTGACGAGCGCCGCTATGGAATCCGCTCCTACCTTCATCTGTTCTACGAGGACTGCGCTGGCTCGGTGACCAGGGGCCGCGGTGAGCTGAGCATCCAGCTCCCTGCCAGCAGGAGGCGCTCTCTCACCTGGAAGGTAAGACCGAGGGACTGATAACCCACTGGTTACCTGACAGTAAGTAAAGCAGGAGCTGATCTTAGACGATGGGCGGATCACTTTTTGGGCAGAATAATTACCCTGCCGCCGCCCCCCCCCCCCACCCAAAAAACATTTGGTCGCTCAATCCATGACCGTCTGTGGGGACATCGCTGTGAGCAATTGGCTGCTGCGTTTTGCCCACAAAATACCCAGTCATTCCACTGTACAGTGTATCCTGTGAAGCGCTTGGAGACGTCTCAACGACCTCAAAAAGAGAAAGGAAATGAAAGTGAGGAAAAGAACGACATGGAGAGAGAAAGTCAGATAGAGACAAAAAAAAAGAGAGGAAGAGAAGACAGACAGCCAGAGATAAGGAAGATTTCACTCTGCTCTCAGTGAATCTTTCCCCCACAAAATACACAGTTCACTACACTGTACAGTATATCCTGTGAAGCGTTTTAAGACGTCTCAACGAGTTGATAAGGTGCTGTATCAAGTGTATGTATTATTATTATTATTATTGTTCAGTTCATTATCCTGTGCCCACAGGATTTACCTGCGCTATATAACACGTATGTAAGTGTCGCGTGTCGCTGAGCCTCACGTACACACATGTTGTCCTGTGTTCCCAGGTGGGGCTGTGGACGGGGGGGTTTCTCCTGTTGACTGGCCTGGTGACGGTCACCGCCGGTTACCTGGTGCCCCCGAGGATCGAGGGGATCGGGGAGGAGGAGTTCGTGGTGGTGGATGAGAAAGCCGTCGAGTACAACGAGGCTCTGGAGGTGGCCAGGCTGACGGGGGCGGCGCTGCTCAGCCTGGGGGCCGCAGTCATGGCGGGGTGTGTGCTGGCTCTCACCGCGGCTGCACGAACCCTACCGAAGGAATTCCCGGCGGAGGCCAAACACGGCGCGGTGATAAAGACTGGCTCTGGCGGCAGCTCTTGGCTCCCCGGCTCCTGGAACCGTGTGCAGAGCATCCAACCCAAAGCCGCAACATGAGCCCCGGCCTCGCCCTTACTCTCACCCCCCTCCCCTCACCCCCATCACCACCAACCCCGCCCGGCCCCTGGTGAGCAGACTGTCCTCAGGGTCACATCCAGCCCTGTCTCACCAGCAACTCCTCATCCTTACATCCCGGTACTGTGTCAGAGATCTGTCTCTTCTCCCCCCCCCCCCACCCCCAACACCTACTCTACCCCTCCTGCCTCTCCCCCATCGCTCCCATTGTCCCCCCCACTCCCCCCCACCACCCACATCTCCCCTCCCTTCTCCCCTCCGCTGTCTCTCCACATCTCTGCAAAAACAAAAATAAAAATGTCTTCCCCCCCACCCCCCACCCGTCACTGTCTCTCCCTCTCCTCCGTTACCTCCGTAACTGTAACCCCAGCACATACAAGCCCGGGCTGCTTCACGGCCAGGCTGTTCTATTGGGGGGCGCAAGGAGGAGGCAGGGCAGGGGGTAGGGGTTGCAGGGGAGGTGGTGGGTGGGTGGTGGGGACGACATGAGTCTCGGTCTATGGCTATGGACAGGTGGGCTGTGGTACATCAACTCATCACTGTCTTCGTTTAACACTCAGTCATGTCTCCAGCTCTCTGGATGTAGAATGCGGAATAAACAATCAATGTGGATTGTGTGTGTTGTGTGTGCGTGTATTGTGCGTGTGTGTGTATTGTTTGTGTATTTGTGTGTGTGTGTGTTGTGTGTGCGTGTATTGTGTGTGTGTATTGTTTGTGTGTGTGTGTGTGTGTGTTGTGTGTGCGTGTATTGTGCGTGCGTGTGTATTGTTTGTGTGTGTGTGTGTGTGTTGTGTGTGCGTGTATTGTGCGTGTGTGTGTATTGTTTGTGTGTGTGTGTGTTGTGTGTGCGTGTATTGTGCGTGTGTGTGTATTGTTTGTGTGTGTGTGTTGTGTGTGCATGTATTGTGTGTGTGTGTATTGTTTGTGTGTGTGTGTGTGTGTTGTGTGTGCGTGTATTGTGCGTGTGTGTGTATTGTTTGTGTGTTGTGTGTGCATGTATTGTGTGTGTGTGTATTGTTTGTGTATTTGTGTGTGTGTGTTGTGTGTGCGTGTATTGTGCGTGTGTGTGTATTGTTTGTGTGTGTGTGTTGTGTGTGCATGTATTGCGTGTGTGTGTATTGTTTGTGTATTTGTGTGTGTGTGTGTGTTGTGTGTGCATGTATTGTGTGTGTGTGTATTGTTTGTGTATTTGTGTGTGTGTGTTGTGTGTGCGTGTATTGTGTGTGTGTATTGTTTGTGTGTGAGTGTGTGTGTGTGTGGTGGGGGGGGAGTTGTAACTGTTGGGGGGGGAAGAGAGGGTATAGGTTAACTAATTCTGCCTTCGTATATCATCTTGGCTCAGTAGGTAATGCAGCACTCTCTCCTCTGGGTCAGAAGGTTAAAGCCCCATATTCGGGGACTTTGAACTCACAGTCTAGGCTAACGCTTCAGTGCAATGCGGGGGGTGGGGGAGCGCTAATTGTTAAAGGTGCTGTCCTTCGGGTGAGAAGTTAAATCGAGGCCCCACCTGTGCCCGTTCGGGTGGATGTTAAAGATCCTGTGAGGGAATGGAGTTTCTCTCTCTCTCCCGGCGTCCTGGCCAACAATCCCCCAGGTAGAATTAGTAGTTGTAGTTGTTTGTGGGACGTCACTGTGTGCAAATTGGCTGCCGCAATCACAGTCACTGCACTTCACAGCGAAATTATGCAAAGCCGTTTAAGAAATCTTGACAGAACTACAGTGCTCGAAAGTACTATGCTGAACCCAAGGTTTATTATTATTGTGTCACTTGTATAAAGTGCATTAGTTAAGTTTAGAATAAGCCCGGCGTGGGGAGAGGGGGGGGGTCAAATGTATGTGCAGAATGTTTAAGGTGATATGTGTCACCTCTCTGTCCGTCTTTGATGAACAAATGTTTGGCGAAACCCTGTCACGAAGGTGCTTCACGTTAAGTTCAATTCCTTATTAAAGTTTCTCCTTGAGAGAGAGAGAGAGAGAGAGAGAGCGCCCCATGCGTTTGATGCAGTATCAGCACACAGCCAGGAGGTGTCTATGTGACACTGGCGTCTTCAGCATTTTCACAATAATAATAATCTTTGCATTTGATACAGCGCCTTATCACGTCTTCCGGACATTTCAAAGCGCTTCGCAGGATGTGCTGCAAAGTGAATTGACTGCATATTTGTTGGCAAAACACGGCAGCCAATTGCGCACAGCAGTGTCCCACAAGCAGTCGTGACCAATTTTATTATTGTTTTTTTTGAGGGATTATTATCAGCCGTGTGGAGTGAGCAAACTTGCCCAAAGTTTCGCCCTGACTGCTGGGAATCAAACCCAGGTCTCTCGCTTGCAAAGCAAGTGCTCTAACCGCTGAGCTACCGGACTCCACAAAATCCACAAATTTTCACCATTAATCCTCAAATTCTTATGTTTGGCGTCTCAACTTTCAAAACTTTCCTGTTCCCCCCTTCCCCTCCCCCTCCCCCACTCACTTCATCTGCGTGAAAGGCGCTATATAAATGCAAGTTGTTGATTTTATTTCGGTGATTACTGGGTTGAAACATTACTTTGATATACAAATAGTTTCGATCTCAGACAAAACTTTCCTTCTCCCCCCCCACCCCCCCAGCCCCCCAGCGCCTTGTAATGTGAAAGGTGCTTTACAAATGTAATTTTGTATTTAATTCTTTCTCTTCCTCTCTCTCTCTCTCTCTCTCTATCTGATGACTTGAACAGCACTGATTCCAGCCCTGGATTGCATCACACGAGGTGGGGGTTGGGGAGGTGGGGGGGGATGGTCGGTGGCCTTGGAGGTTTCCCAGAATTGGCTGTTTCCATTCCCCTCTGGCCCAGCTCCAGACAAACTTTCACATGAACCAAACATCTGTTCTCAGAAGGCGAGGAAAGTAGCTTTTTCCTGAGTCAGTGAATTTCTTGAGGGCATCAACCAGCGAACCACATGTCCAGACCCTCATTTAAAGGGTGAACTGTGTGGTTCAGTGGCAACGTTCAGAAGGTTGTGGGTTCGGGCCCCCACGTTGGGACTTGGAACCACACAGTCTCAGCTGACGTTCCAATGCAGCGCTGGGGGTGTGTTACATTGTGGGAGGTGCCGTCCTTTGGATGAGATGTTAAACCGAGGGCCCGTCTGCCTGTTCAGGTGGATGTTAAACATCCCGCAGCGCTATTCGAAAAGAGAAGGGAGTTTCTCTCTCCCGGTGTCCCTGGCCAACAGACCCCCAAATAAAATTGGTCGCTCAATCCATGGCTGTTTGTGGGGATGTCGCTGAGCGCAATTGGCTGCCGCGTTTCGCCCACAAAATACACAAAGTCAATACATTTTACAGTGTATTCTGTGAAGCGCTTTGAGGCGTCTCAACAACGTGATAAGGCGCTGTGTCAAATGCAAGGATTGTTATTATTATTATTATTATTATTAAGGCTGAGGTTGAGAGACCGCGGCAGAGATTTCACTGCAGGGAGTAACATGGAGCACAAACGTTGCTGTGCGGCTCTCTGACCTGCAGGTGTCGGTGTTGAGAGCAGCGTCACTGATGGCCATTGAAGAGGCTTCCAGCCTGGGCACTCTCTATAATAATAATAATAATAATAATAATAATAATAATAATAATAATAATAATCCTTGCATTTGATATAGCGCTTTTCACGTCTTCTAGACGTCTCAAAGCGCTTCATAGGATATGCTGTAAAGTAAATTGACTGTACATTTGTGGGCGAAATGCTCTATACCCTGGTATAACCTGGCAGAAGTGTATTAACCCTGTGTAAACCTCTGTTTTAACCTCTGTTAACCCGGGTTAGGTTCAGCCCAGGGGAACGGTGTGCCGCGATCTCTCCTTGCATCAATTGGCTGCCGTGTTGGCCTCCAAAGGCACAATCACGACACTCGACCGCAATCCCCTGCAAAGCGCTCTGAGGCATTGGGACTGGCTGTACGAGGATCCAACGTGCAGAGCAGGGAATCTCCCCGTTTGTCTGTTTGTTTCCAGCATTATATTTGCTAATATTAATAATAACTATAATTTTGGACTTTGGCCATTGACAAGCCTTATCATATGACTGGAAATCTCCCAGCCCAGGCTGACCATTTCTTTCTGTCATTTATTCCTGTTTGTCACTGAGATTCCCACTCTGTCCTCTCGATCAGCACATCTCACCACCTCCAGCCCCAGACGAGTTTCACATCCTCATTCTCGCTCAATACACGTTCCGTTGAATTCCCTTCGATTTCTCACTGACACCGTTTCCCGGAAAGACCCAGGTCCATTACCTATCTCGGGTAGTGATTGCGTATTGTGTTGGTGAACGTAGCCAATTGGCTAACCACACAATTTGCACGTAGCGATGTTCCACGAGCAGCCGTGAAGTCGAGCGACCAGTTTTACTTGGTGGTTTATTGGCCAGGAACCAGGAGAGAGAGAGACAGAGGGAGAAACTCCTTTCTCTTTTCAAGTAGCGTCATGGGATCTGTGACACCCACCTGAACGGACGCAGACAGGGAGTTGGTTTATGTCTAACGTATCACCTGAAGGATGGCACCTCTGCCAATAATAATAATAACAATGATAACAATCCTTGCATTTGATATAGCGCCTTATCACATCTTCCAGACCTCCCAAGGCGCCTCGCAGAATATACTGTGAAGTGTAATTTGTGGGGGAAACGCGGCAGCCAATTGCGCACGGCAGCGTTCCACAAACAGCCGTGGATTGAGTGACCAATTTTGAGTAAAATTTGTTGGTACTTTTTTTTGAGAGAGGTATTATTACCCCGGAAAGCCATCTGCCGATTGACAATGCAGCCCCTTCCCCAGCACCCCACTGAAGCATCAGCCTCGATCATGAGCTCAAAGTCCCGAAGTGTGGGGTGGGGGTGTGGAGGGGAGGAAAGGCTGATGCGGCGGCTGACGGTACACAATGCAGTGAAGTGTCACAGTGACGGGTTTTAGTTCTGAGAATCAGTGATGTAAATGCTCTGCCTCAGACAGTAGTAAACCCTTTGCGTGGGAGGGGAACTGTGGGAGCTCTCTTCATTCTCGAAGAGGAAGCAGTAAAACTGAAAGAATTACATCATGTGAGAGAGCTGAACTGGGTTATTCTTTCTCTGGCTCCTGTCACCTCTTCCTGTGCGGTTTATTACAGGTTAT